GTAGAGAAGCGTTTTTTCGATCCATGAAATAACATCATAAAGCTTGACATCTGCCCAGCTACAAGGATAATAGATCTTCTGCGATAAATCCACTGTTATGAAATCTAAGCGTCTTCCTATATGGTTCCTAAATGACCCTCTTTTCCGACAAACAGGAAGCTGGTTATCACTGTCAGTTGTTTCAGTACTAGTACTTGTATCTGATACTGTTTGTCGTACTTATCAGAGGCAGTACAGGTAACCAATGATGATATCTTCTATATTCCATGTGGAACCATACCCTGTTATTCCTGCGAAATGTATGTTAATTCATCTCCAGTTCTTCAATGCCGTTGTAACTAACACGTCCATAACGATTTAAAATATCAATTACTGTTCTTCGGCTTCCTGGTATACTCTTCATCGCCATTTATAATACAAGAGTCAAATGTTTGGAAGTTTTAATTTTGCCACACAAAACATTGTACATGGCATCTTAAGAAATTGATGCAATTTTTCTTACATTTTTTTCTGCTTTTCTTCTCTCTGGTCAGGACCTCTAAAATGAGTAAAAAGTTGATTCTGGCACAGAAACCACTTCTTGACTTAAATATCCTGCACTGTTAATTTTTATGATAAAGTGGACTTTGGTACATTTAGTATTTGCTTACGAAATATGAATGCTATGTCACAAATCTTTGCTTTTATCAATGTTTTCTAAGAACACCTCTTTAATGGTCTCTTCAACATTCATTCTATTGTTATAAATGATATTTCGTTTAGTATTTGATGATAATAATGTCAATTTCTCTGGTTCAAAGTAATTCACTATCTTCCTTTCAAAATAGGAAATATTAAAATCACCAAATATACTATTCAAAAAAAGTAGGGGATATTTGATTTTGGGGGCATAATACTAAAATATGCAAATGACTACGAAAAAATTCACTATAGAACCTAACAGAAGAAACATTTCCAGTTACATGTGACGCCCAAACGCACCAATAGCTACCGCATGGAATGCAGGTGATGCTTGGGATCATCATGGGGGTCCAACCCAAGATTTGCACGACTCTGACTTTGAATGTTACAGTCATTGTGGCATTAAATTCCAGGGTGGAAACATCAGTTTAATTGTTTTAGTGACCAGAAAACAAATTTTGATATGCGTCGGCTTACCAAAAATGAAAGGTTACGTGCCCTTGGCATGCTACAGATCGGCACAACACAGGCGGTTGTGGCGCGGACGATGAATGTTTCTCAGTCTGTCATAAGCAGGCTATGGTCCAGATACCGTGATACACAATCTGTACAGGACAGACCACGCTCAGGTCGACCAAGGGCGACAACTCAAGCCCAGGATCGATTTATCCGTACCTTGGCCTTGAGAAATCGTGTCATCACAGCAAATCAGATCAGCGCTCGTCTTCAAACAGACACTGGTGTGAGAGTGAGTGGCCAGACGATTCGGAATCGACTGCATAGGGGTCACCTTCGCGCCCGACGTCCTCGCGTGATCCCTTGTTTGAGAGATCATCACATTCAGGCAAGACGTCGTTGGTGTAGGGATCGTCAACACTGGGATAATCGACGCTGGAGCAATGTGATGTTTTCAGATGAGTCAAGGTTCACTGTTGATTTTTTGGACAGACGTAGGAGGGTGTGGCGTCGTCGAAACGAGCGCTTCCAAGACGTTAACGTCATCAGACATGATCGATTTGGGGGTGGTTCTGTTATGGTGTGGGGAGGCATCACTGTTGCTGGAAGAACGGCTTTACATGTTGTTGCAGGGCGTGTTACAGGCCAGTACTACCGGGACAACATCTTGGCAGTCCATGTTGTGCCGTTCGCACGACGTCATGGCCGCCGTTTCATCTTCCAGGATGACAACTCAAGATGTCACAGGGCCAGGATCGTTACAGGTTACCTCCAACAACAGAACATCACCACATTACCTTGGCCAGCACTGAGTCCCGACCTCTCCCCCATCGAGCATGTCTGGGACATGCTTGGACAGAGGTTACGTCAACGTCAACAACGTCCTGCCAATGTCCAAGAACTTGCTGCTGCGTTGCAACAGGAATGGGACAATCTGGACCAAAATGACCTTAGACGTCTCATTAGGAGTATGCCACGTCGGATCAATGCTTGTTTGGCAAACAGAGGAGGATTTACCCGTTACTGACTTGGTTGTGATGCTGTGGTAGCTTTGCTGTTTGACCCCGGGTATCATTTTACCCTTATAATGGTCAGTCTGTGCCTTACTTAGTCTAACGATCATTTGGAATAAATCGATGAATGTGAACTTCATTTCATTTTGTCATTTGTTTCTTCGTCAGTTTCATTAGGTGACTTTAATAACACTTAAAAATCAAATATCCCCTACTTTTTTTGAATAGTATATATTATTATTTGGGCTGCCATCCTCCGAAAAACTGGTATATACTTCCAACAGATTTGCAATCTGATTATACAGTTCTTTTGTTGTGTATACATTTTCTTCTTCAACAGATTCTTGTATAAAAGATAATGCCATGAAATAATGAGATAAATTGCTATTCTTTGGCACCTGGAAATGGACATAAATGGGTCGCAATGCTTATAATAATGTAATAGGAATGTATATAAACTGATTCACATTTAATCGTTTCTGTTTTTACTGTAATTTCTAATCAGTTATGTTCCGCAAAATATGCAACAAGTCCAAATTGAATGGCAGTCTTTGGCATCTGCTTATTCCAGTCTACACTGGTAGTATTCTTCTACATGGGATATTTTTTGCCTCGTTCATCGAGTCGCTTCATACAAATGGTGCTCGAAAGCATTCTGACACACGATTCGTGTGCCAATTTTAACATTTTCATTTTGTCTTAAATGTTGGATATCAGAAGCCCAACTTTTCACGGTAAGATAACAACATCAATGTTGATTTAAATTGACCATTAAGTCGTGTTTGCAACCTCGAAAAGACTTGGCTCCTTTAATGGAGAATGATATCACTTGAGAGGCCAGCCCTGCTGTATTGAATTTCTACTATGTTGTTGAAAACTGCAAATTAATAGTGGGGGTGTCAAACTAGTCAGTTTGTAGATTTAACTTTGAAGTGAAATCACGCATGTGTATTCAACCTTTGGGTGGGTGGTGACAATTAAGTAGTCAGATTAGGAGTTTGCCCCACAGTAACCCATGAGATTTTTAGAACTGACTAATACATAGTTAATATTTGGCACCAGTTTAGTTATATTACTTACGAGGCAAATTTTTTAGACCCCATTTGTCGGCGTGGTAGATGAGGCATATTTAAGTGGTTAGATTAGGGGTTTGCCCCAATGAAACCAGTCAGATTTGATATTTTTAGAACCATTTCATAATTAGCTAACATTTGGCACTCAATTTCAATCTTATTACTTACATGAGGCATTTTTGGGCCCCCATCTACACTTTTAAGGGCAGTCAGAAAGTAGAGTGGACCCATTTTTCCCGGTCAGATTTTGCATTTTAAGATTCAAATATATAGCACCACAACATTTCAAAACTATTTCTGATCGTATTACTTATGATGCACATTTTGACCTTTTTGTTGGTAGATCGGCAGATTTTAAGTGGTCAGATTAGGAATATGTGCCCCACTGAAACCAGTCAGATTTAATTTGATATTTTTAGAATTGGCACCAATTTCAAAAAACTATATTACTTATGAGGCAAATTCTGGCCCCCGTCAACACTCTTTTAAGGCAGTCAGAAAAGGGCATGGCCCCACCTTTTCCGGTCAGATTTATATTTTTTATTCATACATTGCAATGCATGGAAATATTTTAGAAATAATTCTGATCCTATTAATTATGACTCAAATTTTAGCCCTTTTTATCTGCTCCTCCCAGCCAAATTCCCCACTGAAACTAGCAATGCAAAAGCTCGCTAGGGGCGCCCTTGATAGTGTTTTTATCACTGTCAAAAAATCTGATCGCAAAATGTGCCGTTTTTGTTCCGCGACTTCGGGAAGGTGTATGACCACCAACACTGATGACTTTTTACTTTTTTCATAGAGAAAACAGAGTTTGTGTCGAGCGTGGTTTGGTCATTCAGAAACGTATTTATGACTGATTTTTTATATTTTGAAAAAATAAAATGAACAGAAAAAGACAAAAACAACGCTTGTCACTGGAACTAATAATATTTTCTCATATTAAAATCACCCCTTTTCTGCCAGAACTCTGGAAAACAAATCATGTGGAAGAAAAGAAAAGATAACTCCACCTGATGTGGGTGCAGACCACAGCCGCTTTCTTGTTATTGTGAACGTGTTCAACCAAGTTTCCCTTTTGCTAACAGTGGGCTGGTTCAGGGGCACAATTTTCATGAGCACTTTTTAGGGGTATATATTCTGGTGCACGGTTTGAATTCTTTTTCTTGTATTGTTACAATATTTTATTGATTCTAATAACACTTTCCTAAAATTAATTTTTTTAAAAATTATCTCTTGGATTACTTTCTCTTTTGTTAGTGATCAAATGACAGCCATATGGAATCTGTTACAAGAAAATGAAATGGAGTTTAATGTTCTACTCCTACTGGGCTAATGAAGACGGTGGGGATGTGAGTGAGGGGAACACGCCATTGCAGTGTGCTATGAGAGGAAACTTTGCAAAACTGCGGCGCAACAGCCTAGTGCAGAGCCTATTCTTATTTCAAATTCCAACTGTCTAGGGTTCTTTTATGAGCATATTTCCATTCTATCCAAATGACTATGTTGTCACTTGCTAGGCCTCCCCTCGTACATCCGGAGGGGAGGCTGGTGTGTACAATGAATTTGCTCGGCCAATGCAGGAATTGAACATGGCACATCCAGTTGAGTGAGCCAACGTCCTACCCACTGAGCTACCGTGGCTCCCTGTTGCCAGAAAAGAGAATGGGCTAGATGAGTATAGGATGTCCAGTGCTCCATCCCCAGAATTCACTCTGTTTTGCGGATCAGAGAACCTGACAATGATAAGTTGAATGAAAAACAATGTTGTACGTACGTATTGGCGGCACACATCAACCATCCCTTGATACCTACAAATCGAGGAGCAGTGTAGGAAGTTGTTTTAAGGATTAATTCTACCAGAATAAAGCAATACCCGAAATTTGAGGTCCATGTGAATTCTATCTTTAAAAAAGTCTTCAACGCAAATTTGGGGGTTTTATCCATGTTGCAGACCCAATATCAAAACAAATAAATTATATAGCCCAAATTTAAAAATACCAATAGATAGTTAATCATTTGGAAGGATATTTCCTGAAAATTTGATGCCAATATCTTCAATAGTTGCTGAGAAAAGGTCTTCGGTCACTTTTTTGGCATATTTTTAAAAAAAGTGTAAGTGCAATAACTTTTTTATTTCTTAACCGATTTTTAAATTTTGGGGGGTTTCTTAAATGGGAAGGGGGTTGGAATGCTAGTAAATCTTCAGTTTTAGTCTAATCGAAAAATATAAAAAAGGTTTTTTTTGCATTTCTACTGAAACCTCGTAAGACTGGGTGTTTTGAATTAGCCCTATCAATAGCTGCCAATTAAATGGCAAATTTCTTCTATTAGAATATTACTTATGAGGCAGTGTTTTCGTCACTGGCTCTTGGACTATTAGTATTAGGCTAGACATTACTGTCATAGTTTTATAGGGTATTTCTGAGGATGTAAGTAGGCCTACGAACTGCAATTGTCTGAACAAGAACTAGCTACAACATTGTGATAACAGTCTGCAAATAAAAGAATAAAGGCTGAAAACTTACACGAAACTCCCGCCCAACCAATAATTAACACAGACCAGTTTCTGGCAGACAAGATTGTCTGCTCGAAGTAACCAATAACACAGAGTATAATAACTAACAGACAAGAATAAATCTAGGTCAAAATATTCACCTCTTAGCACAATGGGTTGATCTGCTCTAATCACGTGATCAATTCTATCCAATGGTCGAAGTCGGTACTGATTTATTGTGGAAATCACAGAATATAACAAAAAGAAACGCAACGAAATACAATATTAATAGAAGTTTGAACCTTCCAATTCACCCTGAAGTGATCAATGTGCCAGGAACATGTTTATATTTTCTTAAAGATAATAAATTGTTCTTTTAAATGGTATATGAAAATATACTTGGAATTTGATTTTTCATATGGGCTCGATGTCTGTCCCACCCCTCTTATATCTTACAATTCACCCTGTAGATATTAATGTGCCAGGACAATGTTTTTATTTTATGAACGATGATAAATTTATCTTTTAAATGGTATATGATATTATACTTGGCATTTAATTTTTCATATAAAATTTCGTTGCCGCAAATGACAACATCCTGTAAATATTCCGTCTCAAGGTCTGCTACCCCACCCCAATCTGTTTCACAGAGTAATACGAAAGTCTTCTAATATCTCTGTAAAAGATGACTGCCTTCAACACATGACGTCATATCACGCGGCGTCAATCATTGGCCCAATGGCGCGTGCATTGTTTACATAAGACGTTAAGAATGGCGCCTTTTACTCATTTCAATACCCATTTACACTAAAATAGGAAAAAAAATTACCTACACATACTTCAAACGTCTTTATTTATTTTTCTAATACATAAAAAAATGTTTTAGAATTTAATTTGTCGGAGGAAAAAAGTTAATATATGGGGCTCATTAAGTCGCGTGTGAAATAGCTTGCTTTAACGTCCGCTTCCGCCGAGGTGATATCGATGTCATCCTGATATCAGTGATTGTCGCGGCCTTGCGAATATTCACTGCGGATCAGTGTGACCTCACCTCTCTTATACCTTACAATGTTTATATTTTATGAACCATAATAAATTTATCTTTTAAATGGTATATTATTATGATATTATACGTGGAATCTGATTTTTCATATAGCATTTCGTTGCCGCAAATGACAGCATCCTGTATAAATACCGTCTCAAGGTCTGATACCCCACCCCTCTTATACCTTACAATTCACCCTGTAGATATTATGAGCCAGGAAAATGTTTATATTTCATAGACGATCATAAATTTCTCTTTTAAATGATATATGATATTATACTTGGAATTTGATTTTTCATTTGCATTTCGTTGCCGCAAATGACAGCATCCTGTATAAATACCGCCTTAAGGTCTAGAGAAGATTAAAATAAACTTTGCCATCAGTTACACACCTTTGAAGATGAATCTGGAGTAATCAGATGTGTTGGTGGTGGGCGATTACAGAAACACCCAATACTTTTAGATAAATCCCATTGGTATACCACTCTTGTTCGAGAAAGTCACGGGAGAGTACTTCATGGTGGAGTGAAGGCTGCCCTCACCGAAGTTAGATCGAAATACTGTATTATACGCGGAAGGCAGTTTACGAGACAGCTGATATTTTCTTGAACTATATGTAAAAGGTTAGCTGCGAATCCTTGTCAATCAACAGATCCCCCCCCCCCCTTTACCATATCTATTGGTTTGGATTACATTGGGTCATTGTACTTCAAATCTGTATCCGGAAACTGTTCGAAGTATGGATTTGTTTGTATACATGCTGCGTTATCAGGGCCCCTGGAAATAGTATCTGATCTTGCATCAGCATCCTTTATCAGAATCTTTAGAAGATTTACTCCAAGGAAACAAGATTCCTTCTATAGTGGTTTCGGACAATGCAAGTGCCTTTAAACCTGCTGCGAAAGAAATTCAAGATATTTTGAAGAACCAAATTGTAAATTATTATTTTACAGAACACAACATTTGATGGATATATATTCTACCAAAGGCCCCTTGGTGGGGAAGAGTTTTTGAGCGGCTTGAAAAATCCATCAAAGAGTGCCTGAGAAAGTCTTGGCTCAAGCCAGATTAACATATGATGAACTTTACACATCAATTACAGAAGTTGAGGTGATCGTAAATTATAGACCTCTTTCTTACATAACATCGCGATCGGAAGACTCTGAAGAACGTCTTACACCTTCTCATCTCATTTGTGGTCACAGAATCGCAAGTCTGTCTGATAAGTCATTTGACGTACAGTCTAATCCTGAAACCCTAATAAAGCGTATGAAACATGTTAATGGACCAATTCTGGAACAGGTGGCGTAAGGAGTACCTTATGGAATTAAGAAATTCCCATTGTCATAATCATTGAAAGTCATCTGAGGGTGTACAAGATGTTTCGGAAAGAGATATTGTTCTTGTACATGACGATGATCATCCTCGTGGATTCTGGAAACTCATAACTATTGGGTCTCATAACTAGTAAGGATCGAAAAGTAAGAGGAGCAATGGTTAGTATTAAACATCTTAATCGTAAGCCTATGATTCTTCAACGACCTCTAAAATTATTATACACCCCTGGAAGTTATATTTAATCTAATGGATAAAAGTCTGATAAATGATTTTAGGTACAGAACTCACAGATCCTGATAACCTGGAAACTATTAAAACAATTGTATCTGACAAGAATATGGAAGAGTTACAAGATGGAACAAATCGTCCACCAAGGCGAACAGCAGCCACTGAAGGGGAACGACTTAGAAGACAGTGGATAGCTGAGTTAACGAACTGAACTATTAATTGGATTTATAATGGGTTTATTGTTTACTATTTTTGACTCTTGTAGTTTAATTGTATTGACTTCATTTCAAAGTCAATGGGGGGGGGGATCCTAAAGTACGAGTCTATATTTTAGACAGTTAATAATTGTGTTTATTCAGAGAGACTGGGTAATCTAAGCTTTAGATCACGTGTTGTTAGAAGAGATCGAAGCGCGACAGCACGGGCACTGGGGGGGGGGGGGGGTCCTTTTCTATTCCGATTTAAGTTTGCCACTTTTAACTCTTTGTATTAGGCAAATAAAAATATATTCCTCAACTGTCAAAGGACAGGTAGTTTCTCTTAATCAGAGTTATATCAGATGCATTGTAGGGTAATTGACCGGTAATTAATTAATTAGTGTTATCTGATCTTATCATTGATTGGTTTGTATTCACGTAGAAACTAATTTGATAGAATTAACCATTGTTAATTGGTGTACTGATTCTGCTTATATCTGTCATTGAGACGTAAGTTATTGATGACAAATGGTAACGGTATATATACCTTGATAGATGAACACTGATCATGAATTATCTGATTCCACGTGAACTCTTCTCATCTTTTACCACTTGATACACTAATTGCACACGGTAGGTAACTCTGTGTCATTCGAGTCGATATACCGCTACTTTTGTCCCGTCAACAACTGTCGTCTGTTTAAACTTGATGTTGATATAAATATTCATAATTATTGCATAACATGTCTGAGTATCAAGCTGATGTCATGGACAATGATAAGGATCCTTTTTTCTGTACCTAATATATCCTATTGTTTGTCCCCTGGTGTACAATAGCGAGTTTTAAATCTCTATTCGACTGTGTCTGAACCATAGCCCCAATTAACCTAAAGTAGTAGCATGTGAAGGGTACAGGACAGGACATGCGTACTTATGCAGCAAAGAATATGGTCAATAAGCGTCACCGATTTGATATCAGTCGATGAGTCTTAAAGAGCATATTTTGACAATAATATATTGTATGGTCTCTTAATTATATTTTCAGATGTATAAATGGTTGAAAAAACGATGTTCGCGTAAAACAACGTCCCCAAATAGGACATCCAATGAGAAAGGTGATAATCATAGTATAGAAGAATCTGATTCGTATACCTCACTGGAAGACTGCCACATATATACTGAAATATCTGATGTCTCGGTAGAATGTTTATCGTTAGATTCCGGAATTAACCCATTTTATGAAGAGTTCAGTGAAGTTGACTCCCTTTGTCACGAGTGCTCTCTTTGTCGAGATTTTCGCCATAGTTCGTGTGAGTGTGTGACGTCGGATCTATTATCCGAGATGAGCAGCATGTGGGATATATATAGTAACTCGATCTTAAGATCCACACCAAGCTCCCCGACAGGAAATATCACGGGGTCACAAAATACAGCAAAACACCATGTTGATCTAGCAATTCAGAAAAACTATATTTTGAGAACTGCATCATACATAAAACGGCGTCCACTACCACCAATACCTTCTGAAATTACGGTGCGGGGGGATTCCCATAATGACACTAGCGGTTTCTTTGAATATTAACATTTAGAAATATAAGTTAATGATTTGTGTTAACATATGAGTTTCATTTGCTTATTTATAAAATATTTACAAATACCATACCAATACGTAATCGAAACCTTGGGTAGAAATATGGTATGCTATTAAAAAGATACTTTAAGCATCTTTATTGAATTCATTTAACCTGTCTGATATTTATTTTTTTATTCTTTGTCAAATTGTGCTGAAAGTAATATATATTATTGTTTGTTTCTGTTAATAAAATTATTACTAAAAAAAAAACAAATAGTAATCGTCGATTACCAGAAAAAAATATACATCATTCAATTCGTATTGTTGTGTCGTATACATCCAATTATTTGTACAATTTAGAATACATGCATACTGAGGGGATCATTATGGATTTAAGATTAGGAAAATGGACCAGCACTATAAATGTCTCAGATTTACTCCCGTTTCCCACTTGCCTTGGCCCTCATAGCACACTGTATGGCGTATGCCCCTCTTCATTAAACCCCATTTCATTTCATTTCACTTGCCTTGGCCAATGCATATGGGTCTGACATGGAAAAGTGTGCCCAATAACTCAAGGTGCTCAATAATCATGCCCCAATCAGCACTAAAACCATCCATCAAATTTCTTGCACCCTGCTATCCAGGTTCGATAAGAATCTAAAGGAGACAGGCTGGAAAACTGTTGACTGGATTCATTTGACCGTATTACGAAAATATAAGTTGTTTAGAATGTTTTATGACTATTAAAATTGCTGAACCCTATCGACATTCGAT